GTGACCCTGTCTCTCTCTCTCTCTCTCTCTCTCTCTCTCTCTCTCTCTCTCGCGCTCTCTCTCGCTCTCTCTCGTGCTCTCTCTCTCTCTTTCGCGCTCTCTCGCGCTCTCTCTCGAAGGAGGGACTTTGTAGAAAACAAAGCGTTTGAGAGAGGCGGGGCCCCTTTAACTCAACTAATTTAACGTAGAAGAGCTAAATAAATAATGTCAACTAAGTAAATGTAATATTTATTTATATTGATTTGTGGGCTCCCCACTGGCAGCAAGACACAGTTCGCAGGGATGCAAACTAATCATAGTTAACTACAAATTAAGTTAATTAATGGTATAATAATTAAATCATGCATTAAAATTTCAAACATTGCCTAAAAAGGGCACATCAAAAGGAGTGCTTTAAGTTATCTTTACCTGTAGAAGCTGCTAAAGGCAACACAGACTTGTTACTCTGAATTTACTCTGCATCACTTAAAGCACATCTCTGTTTTGACATCGGCTTGTCAGATAGTTTGTTACGTTATCTTACCACTGTCAATGGTGGATCAATTTGGCGGATTCACTCACGTAATTTTTTACACTCGCGTTTGTCATTCCTGAAACCGTATACGTGGACGGTCCTCTTAAACTTTTCTTCAAACTGTGAATATAGCATGTAAAAGACACAGAGCAAAGGGCGCTTCCATTATGGCGCAACTGTCCGAGTTTACTCACGCAAAAACTCCTAATATAATCAATGACTAACTACACAATGAATATCTTATTTACATCGTGTATGCTTTCTTTTTGTCTTGTTATAATAGGAAGATCTGTGAGCGTGTAGAACTACATAAACTTGCGAAAACAAAAATTAGATCAGAGTGGATTACTCCGCATCACTTAAAGCACAGCTCTGTTTTGACATCGGCTTGTCAGATAGTTCGTTCCGTCCATTGCTACAGTTATCTTATCACCGTCAATAGCGGATCAATTTGGTGGATTCACTCACGTAATTTTTTACACTCGCGTTTGTCATTCCTGAAACCGTATACGTGGACGGTCCTCTTAAACTTTTCTTCAAACTGTGAATATAGCATGTAAAAGACACAGAGCAAAGGGCGCTTCCATTATGGCGCAACTGTCCGAGTTTACTCACGCAAAAACTCCTAATATAATCAATGACTAACTACACAATGAATATCTTATTTACATCGTGTATGCTTTCTTTTTGTCTTGTTATAATAGGAAGATCTGTGAGCGTGTAGAACTTCATAAACTTGCAAAAACAAAAATGAGATCAGAGCGGATTATGACTAACCCACAGTAAACGCCTCTGATTGGCCACTGCTCTCAACAGAGATGCCTGTGATTGGCTACAAAACTCAACGCTGCAAAACACATTGTAAATAGAAACTTTTGGTTTTGTAATTCGAAACCAGAGCGCGCACACAAAAACATACAGGATCGTTTGAAAGCGGGTGACTTCGAGCAGGTACAGAATTGAGTTGGTACAATTTTAAAAACTCAGCGGATCTACACTAATCACACAAATGACCCATTTTGAATTCAAAATGGTGAATT